GTGTAAGTGTGTGTGTGTGTGTGTGTAAGTGTAAGCCGCCTCTATGTCTCTCTGTTCCTTCCGACATGAGCTAAATGTATACTGTTTGCTTGTTTTTCGTTTTTTCAGTATTCAATGTTTTGAGTTTTTGTTTGCAAATCTGTCATCACACACAACGTCCTATTTTGAGCAGATAATGAGAAATATCCACACATCAGATGTTGATCTGCCACATTCTTCTGCCCTTGAACGCACGTTTCCAGTTGTGTTTTCCATTTTCACTGACAGGCTTCTTATGGCCCTTATGGAATATCGTTTGAGCGGCTGTTTTCTCGTTCCCAGTGATTCGGAATCGGAAGTAGATAGTTTTGTAGTTTGGCGGAGGTGAAGGAGTTTGGACGGGAAGGATGGAGAAGGGGAGGGAGGGGAGGAAGAGGAGTGCGGATGAGGGTTAAAACACTAATAAAATACACGGAAGGTAAAAGGGAATATTAAAGCCCTCAAGGATTTGGATTACGCGAGAAGTTTATAAAATTTGGTATGGGCAGGATGATGTCCTGGGCAATATGATGTATATGTTTTTTCATGTACGTAAACTGGCCTCCAGCAGTTACGGCTGACATTTTTAGAATTTATTTTTAGTGGAACGTGGGAAAGTTGGGCTTATTAGTGCTGTTACTACAACAAAGTATACTGTTGTCTACTGTGGAATAATTGGCAGCGATCCTGATGGATTGCTTACGCTCGCGATCTCGTCCCATTCACTTTTGTTTTGTTTAAATAAAGCTTATTTTGAAGCTGCGCTCACCGCGCGAGTACACATGGAGGGCAGGGAGGGGAAGGGGGTTGGGAGCGCGGTGTTTTGCGCAGGCACGTGTGCCATCTCGTCCCTTTCAGTTGGCTTAGTTTAAGTAAATTTTGCTCTGTATTTAAGCTTCGCTCACCCCTTTCCCAGTGACTTAACTAGAATTCTGTATAGAACTTAGGGAGGGGTTTTGTAAGTATTTCTGTAGCGAGGGTTTGCGGTGATGATTCTACCACTCCACTGC